TTTGGTTTGAATATTGTTATTTTTTATTTTTTTATTTTACATAAAATTTATACGTTATTTTAAATTCCTTAATAATTGTATATACATCAATTTTCTAAAAAATTATAAAAAATAAATCATTATAAAACATATGGAATTATAATATGAATCATTAATTATGTATATAAACCTTATAAAAAACATATTATTTTCTTATTTTGATTGTTTATAGGAATGTATGATATGATTTTGATTTGCAGTTTTCTTTTTTTTTTTTTTAATAAAAAATAAATTAATTTTTAAAATTTTTTTATTTAATACTTTTATTGAATTTGGATTTTTTTGGACTAAAACTTCTTGGGAGTTATGAGTAACTTTACTAAGTAAAATATCTATAAGATTTCGATTTTTGATTTTTGTTAATGTATTTTTTAATTTTTGACAATTATTACATATATTTGTTTTAGTTACTAATAAATTACAATCTATCCTTCTATAAGATTGATTAGGTTGACTTTGATTCTCTAAATTTATGAATGGTTCATGAATGTTATCAGAATTTTTTTGATTTCTTATAAGATAAATTTTCCGAAGGTGAACTATCTTGTCAAATCCTAAAATAAATTTTTTTAATTTAAAATACATAAATGTATAAATATATAAATATATAAATTAAAATTATCATAAATTCATACCTTCAATTTTTTGTCTAATACATATTTTTGCTACAGTTACATAATTAATTATTTTTTCTATCTTTGAAAGAGTTCTTTCAATTGCAACTCCTGTTTCTACTTTATTTATTTTTTTAATACTTTTTTCTAAACATATAACTCGCAAGTAATTAAGCTTTTACACCATTTAAAATCCAAATTTTTTTATCTTTGTTTTTTTCAAAAAATGTTATACCTATTTCATTAACAATTTCTCTAATTCCTACACCAAATAACTTTTGCTTTAAAGTTATATTTGCTTCAATTAATGATTTAACTTCTTCTATGTTTGCTGAATTAGAATTTATCCAATATGAGATTTTTTCAGTTTTTAATAATGAAGCAGGACCCGAACTATGCTAATATAACTCACATTTGAGTTTGCGTAGAGTTTATATATAAACTTTACCAAAAGTTGCTTATTTTTACAAATTTACTTATCCTACATATCCTATTATCTCAATAACCAGTAATTCAATTTTAATGAAATTTATACCATTGGATTCGTCTAACCGAGTGGAATCTAATGGTAGTAATATCATCTTTCTAGCATTAATATTGACCGAGCTATACCATACAATATAATTTTAATTATGTGTTTGTATTACATTTGTGAGTTCTATTAGTATAGTTTGGAGTCCTAATGAAGCTAAATTAAAACTGGAAGAATTTGGTTCAAAAAAAATGGTAACAAGTGCTGAACATTCACCACTAATTACTTTTTTTTAATATTTAATCCAAGAAGCAAAAGTATTGAACTTTTCACTAGTTTTTTTATCAAAAATATAAAAATTTTTGTCTTTTTATTATAAGTCAGGAACTCCTCTATATATTGGATTTTGTTTAAAAAAAAAACTTTGTCATTAAATTTTGGAAAAAAATAATATAGCTCTTGAAGAGCCTCAGGATGCTTTTTTTTTAAAGCTTATAAGTTGGTTTAGTCATTCAATATGTATTTCTAAGACATAATAAGACTTCAAATTAAAAATATTTAGTAAAAAAAACTTTAAATTTTACTTTCTTACCATAATGAAAGAAGTTAAAAATGCTGATGAAGGTTTGTTTCTTTGCAAAAACGTTTAATTGAATTTTAAAAACCTAAACACCATAGGAATGATTTAACAAATATCACATTTTAAAAGATTATATATTTTCTTAATAATTTTTTAATTACAAGAGTATTTGTTTGCTAATCATTACCATTTTATATAATAATATATAGAATTTTATAGGTAGAACAGTCATGTTGATCAAAAATCTTATTGTGTAACCAATAAATTAGCCTCCTTACCTTCAGTCATACTAATTTATTTATACAAATATATGTAATGTAAGGCTAATATAGCCACATAATTGGTATTTCAGATGATTCAGCATGTGATTTATCGCTACAAAGTAAAAAATTCAATTATAAAATAATTTGGCAAATGCATTGTGAAACTTTATTAATGATTTTTCAGATAAAATAGTGAATGAAATGTATAATGCTATCAAAGAGAAAGGAATTATACAGATCCTAAACTATTTAATGTAAATCTTAGCATCAAGTTATTTCTTTGCTCTCGAATTATTTCTATAATTAATTGTTTTTATTTCTATCTCTATTGCTAACTACAAGATTTTCATCCCTATCTACACTATATTTCTGAAATAAATTACCCCACTCATATCTACAGAATTTTTGTCTATCTATAACACTATCATCTGTATATTTTATGTAAAAGATCATTTCCCACAAGAGAACTTTTCTGAGATAAAGTAATTTCGAACCTACAGTATAAATTCAGAAGATTAACAATTGAGAAAAAAATAAGCAATATTTCTGATCACACTTACCACCATGATTCATTTTCAGAACATTCCAGTCTGTCTCATATACAAAAAATTTATTGCTTAATTTTTTTCGCGCTATTGACAGTACAATACTGCGTAAAGTTTCAAGAATTCAGCATGTGAAGATATTTATGAATTGAAAAATATTGTATCAGACTTTTTCTGTGCCATTGCATGTGATGAGAATTATGTGAGTAATATCACTGCGTCTATTGTATGCGTAATAATGGTCAGTAATTTTCTCGGCAAAGATCAAAATGCTAATATATAACAAGAAGAGCAATATGTTTGTTTTATTATAGAATATTTATAACGGAAAATCAATTAAGATTGTAATGACATATTTAGAAAAACTAGCTGAACAATAAATTAATTTACTTTATTATTACTTTGCGGAAATTACAAGTTCATTTGATTGTTAATATCAATGATTTTAATAATGGTAAAAGCTTGATTGATTTGAATTTTTTGCTTTACTTACAAGGCGGATAAAAAGGATTCATTAACAGGAACATCATCTTTTTATATAATTTTCAGGATTAATTTTGGAATATACTTTTGAGGAAAAATTATGTTAATATAATCATTTTACGAAAATCTGATTAATAACTTTTCCTTAATTTAATAATAAAAGAATTTAACGTTATCTTGTATATAAAAAGATCATCAAGGGGCTATACATAGGGTTGGTAAAGTCCTAATTGGTTCTAATTAGTCCTAATTAATTTTAAAAAAATTATTAGTTTTAAGATTAAATTTTTTTAGATATTATTATTATATTCAATTTTTTAATTAAAGTTACTTATTAAAATAAGTTTAAATTT